ATATATATATAGATATATAGATTAACAAGGAATAATCAGTTTTGACCAATGATAAACTAACCAACTCACCAATCATGCTGAAAAAAGAAATGGACAGAAAAGAGAAAAAGGAACAGAACATGAGCATGAAATGTCTCCCAGTCCCCGGTCAAAACAATGCCTAAGCAATTAATAGCGAGTAGTAATACATACAATAACCAAAAAAACAATTATTTGTGTTATAGCACTTCACATAGAACAAAATGGGACGAAAATAATTTTGTAGTTTCTTGCTTTCATATTTGACCATTTAACTTGAAACAAAATTGAAAACCTCCGTAGTGTAGAAAAGGAGGTGCAGATTGCTTCTCTCACAAAACAAAAAAAATAAAAAAGAACTGCAGCAAATAAGACCACTAAGCGAAAACGAAAAGTAAGTGCTAACCAGCCGTATCAATCATGTCATCAACCATAACTGCCACTTTTCCCCTAACATCGCCAATCAAATTCATTACCTATGGGCAGAAAAGCAGCAAGTTAGTGCTCACCCAAAAAAAAAAACATAAACAGGTACATAGAGAGTTATGATATATGGAGGGGCTACACAAGTATTGATGATGTTATATGCAAGAGGATTCTTGTACTTGGTCTAATATGTTCAAAACATGTAAAGGTACGTTCACGGCAGTGATTTTGAGAGCGCGAAGCGCAAAAAAGCAATAGGGCCTTGCTTCGCTTAAAGTGTGAAGCGAAGCGCTCGCTTCGTTGAAGTGAAGTGGAATTTTAAAAGATCTTAAATGATCATTGCACAAATAAATAAAGTAACTAAATAAACAAGACCAAATTAGACCAAGGGAATTCTGTCTGCTATATTTAAAATTAATAAATAAGGGCTTCTGAATTCATCTCATCTTTTAAGAATTTTCATTTTTCTTTATTGGTTAATAACCTTATCATTAAATAAAATGCGCTTTATAGCAATATCACATAGTATACATTTCAACCTCGAATTTTCAATTATGAAAAAAAATTGAGTCCATTAGTTCATGAATCATGACAAAAAAAATATTTCTCGATATAGAAATCAAAACTGAATTATAGGAAAGAAAGAATAAAAAGGAAAAAGACATCCCCCTTTTTGCTTTTGCAATTAGATTCTTTTCTTTTTATTTCTATTTTCTTGAGAGTTGGGAGAGTGAGAAAGATACCAGTCATTCAATTTTAAAGCCTCAAAAAGATTTGGGAACTTTTGTTAAATGTTCAGGAAAACCTTGTTTAAGTGCCTCAGAGGTCGAATGAGGGGAACAAGGTACATCCAAAGAAGATTGAAGCAGTGCAGAGTTAGCCCAGACCATCGTCAGCTACTGAGATCAAGAGTTTTCTTAGTTTAGTAGGCTATTACCGTCGTTTCGTAAAGGGTTTCTCATCTATTGCTACACCTATGACCAGATGGACCTAGAAGGGCGCTCCGTTCAGATGGACCGAGGAGTGTGAGGAGAGCTTTCAAAAGCTCAAGACGGCTTTGACTGTAGCCCCAATATTGGTGTTGCCTAGCATTTGGGGTCTCACACTGTATACTGTGATACGTCACGTGTTAGCCTCGATGCGATGTTGATGCAAGACGATAGGTTGATTGCCTACGCGTCTAGACAACTGATGGTTCATGATAAGAATTATCATGTCCATGACCTGGAATTAGCAGCTATTGTTCATGCCTTGAAATTTGGAGGTTTTATTTGTACGGTGTCCCTTATGAGGTCTATATCGATCACCACAGTCTACAACATCTATTTAAACAGAAGGATTTTTACTTGTGGAAGCGGAGGTGGTTAGAGTTTCTTAAGGACTATGACATCACCATTCTATATTATTCCGGGAAGGTCAATATGGTGGCCGATGCCTTGAGTCAAAAATCGGAGAGCTTGGGTAGTTTAGCATATATACCGACAGCAGACAGGCCGTTAACATTGGATGTTCAGGCCTTGGCCAACCATTTTTTAGATTTGATATTTCCGAGCCGAGTCAAGTTCTGGCTTGCATGATTTCTCGGTCTTCTCTGTATGATCCTATCAGAGAGTATTAGTTTGACGACCCCAATTTCCTTGTCCTCCAAGACACAATTCAACACGGCAATGCCAATGAGGTTACTATTATGTAAAGAGCTAATAATCATCCATAAGACAAGTCTCTCCTTTGGTCATATTTATTGGATGACGCCACTTAAATTGCTTTTATTAGAACGTAAAAGAGAAGAAGTCATTAATCAACTGATTGTTATATATAAACCAACGATTAGCAGAATAAATTGAAACTAATTTGGGCTTCTTTTTTATTATATAAACCGGAAAACAGGGAGTAAAAAAACAGTTGCAGCAATTAATCAATTGAAAGTTGAAACTGAGGGAAAAGAAGAACATGTCCAATTGAATTCTGTGGCAAAAGGAAAAGAAAGATTACCAAATAAAATTAATTAACAAAGTGAAAAAAAAAATCTGAAGAAGCAAGGAAACAAGAAGACGGAAAAAAAAATAAGCAGCAACAAGGCAGAGAAGAAGCAGCCAAACAGAGAGAAGAAGAAAAAAGAAGAAGCTGCAGCAACACAGAGAAGAAGCAAAAGAGAAGAAGAGAAGAAGAGAAGAAGAGAAGAAGAAGAAGAAGAAGGAGAAGGAGAAGAGAAGCAAAAGAAGACCTGGAACAAAGTCGATGAAGTAGAAGAGAACAAAGTCAGGAACCCTAAACGCAGAGAAGAAGCAGGGATGAAATTGCAGAGAACCATCCTTCCCTTTTTCTCCTAAATAAGTGGCCTTTTCTGAAAAACCTTAACAAACGATCACTTCCTTGCTTTCTCGCTTCTCGCCTCTTCAACTGAAGCGAGCTCTTCATTTAAGCTGTCTCGCCTCAGCTCTCGGAAGCTCAACAGAGGTCGCCTCGCCTCGCTTCAAGCGATGAAGAGAGCGCTTTTTATTAAGAAGTATAATGTTGAAGGAGGTGAGCTGACAAAATAGTAAAAGACATAGTAGGTGGCTTCTATGGTTGAACCATAGCCCAGGAACTCAATTCCAAAAAATTGGGAAGATGGAACCTTTAATGCTTGTAAAATGTAAAGAGGAGTCATGTTGTACAAGAAGTTGAAAAGTGATGCTTAAAAGTTCCAGAGCCAAAGAAGTCAGAGTTAGAGGAATCAACACTGAAATTTTTTTTTAAGGAAAGAAAATGAATCTTATTTCAACAGTATATAACCAATCATGCAATGAAGAGAATTCACAAAATTTATAGGTAAGCACATGCATGCCCACAAAAGTATCATCGTAAGCAGTACAAAGAAGTTAGCATATTGCCCAAATTACAAACAGATTTAGCATGTAGCCTGGCACTAGATTTTGAATTGCATGTAATAACAATTTCACTGTAAAGCTAATATACAATAGATGAAGAAATATAAAAAGTTTGTTCTTCACCAAAAAACTGTTTAAACCATCAAAATTAACTAACTCAAACCAACCCCACATGCTCCCTCCAGAAAAAAAAAAAAAGGATAAAAGAAGAGGACAAGAAGAAACCTCAAATAAAATACTAGCAACCAGAATACCTCAGCAACATTGTGCCCATGACGCCTTTTATCCACAATAGCTAGAGGTGCATCAGATAACTTTTTGGCAAAAGCTCTTGCCCTTGCAACCCCACCAACATCCGGAGATACCACAACTAGATCATCAGAGCAGATAGTCTTGCTGGCAAGGTAATCAAGTATGACAGGCTATACATGCAGACACAAAAGTAAGAAGGCAGATAAGCATATGAATGAATACAATTTTTCCAATTTCTAGCGGAGGGAAAGCCTTTCTCATTCTACAAAATCATGCCTAATACTGACGCTAAAGATGCTAAAGTTAATATTGTCGCTATTGACAAATTACCTGGCCATGTACATGATCCACTGGAATATCAAAGTAACCCATTGACTGGCCAGAATGAAGATCACAAGCAAGAACTCGATCTGCACCAGCTTCTGTAATCAGGTTTGCTACAAGTTTGGCAGCAATCGATTCACGACCTTGAGTCTGCAAAAGGATTGGGCATTTGAGTGAATTAGACTAGCACTAAGGTTTATCTCTGTTAATACTGACCACACCAAAACTCAAGTACCCCTCGCCCAATCAATCCAGAACAGGCAAATGTTTGTAAAAATGAGGACATGCATTTGACCCTTTTTTTTTATAAGTAATTAAAGATATTATAAATTTATGCACCAAGTCAGTGCATCAGGCATAATTATAGGTTGTGCAAACCCTCTGTTGTATCTAGCAATCCATCTACATCATGTTCAATTATCAGATTGCACCAAAAAGCTAACCAAAAAAACACATCTCTGTTTAAGGCTGTGAATGTTTCTCATTGTGCCTTCAAAAATTCTATTGTTTCTTTCAAGCCAGACAGTTCACCAAATGGCCTGAGGTATGGTATTCCAAGTTCTTAGAGATTTCTTACTAATCCCCTCTCTGCTCCAACCTTGCAAGAGCTCAACAATTGATTTCGGTATGGTCCAACCCATGCCCAGAATTACCAGAAACATATTCCACAGCTGCCTAGTGACCCTGCAATGCAAGAAGAGGTGGCCAACTTCTTCCGGATGCTCTTCAAACAATGGACATCTACTGCACAGTTGAAACCCCCTTTTTTGGAGGTTCGATAGTGTGAGACAAGCCTCCCGAGCAACAATCCAAGAGAAACAAGAATCCTTCAAAGGAGCCTTGCTTCTCCAAACCTTTTCCCAAGGCCATAATACCCCGTCGATGCTAGAATCCAACATGTGGTAACAACTTTTGCGTGAAAAGAGACCCTGCTGATGGCTTTTCCAACCTATGGAGTATGTTTCGTTGTGATCCAAGGTTATGTTGTTTAACCTCTGTAGCAAAATACAGTCTTTCCACTTGATTTCAAGGACATGCATTTGATTTCCAAAAGCTATTTCATCTTCACATACCAAATTCTTATTCATCTTCATCAAAAACAGAAATGGCTTCAAAGATGAAGCATTCATAATATATTCAATCTTTTCACGGTTACATAAAACTCATCGAACTTGAATCAACACTGTAGCTCAACTTATTAAGCCAGGGCCAAGTTGAGAAGAATATGCATTGCCTATTGACACACCCATCCGATCAAACATGTATTATGGTAGCCGTACCATCTTGGATTTAAACAACTAATTTTCAACATGGAAATAACAAGAATCTATGACATACTCGATCATTTATTTACCATTTAATAGGACAAGCAACATAGAATTACCTTACGATCAGCACGGGCATACCCAAAGTACGGAATCACTGCAGTAATATTTTTGGCTGAGGCTCTACGGCAAGCATCAATCATTATCAAGAGTTCCATCAGATTTTCATTAGCAGGAGGACACGTAGGTTGGACAAGATATACATCACAACCCCTAACACTCTCTTGTAACTGGACATAGATTTCGCCATCAGCAAAACGTTTTATCATTATCTTTCCAAGTTCCAAACCCATGTAGCAAGCAATTTCCTATGAAACAGGCAGCATATCCATCAGTAATGACACATCAAAAGAACACATAACGGTATTACCCAAAAACTATTAAACAACTTCTAATGGAATTAAAAGAACCGCATTGGTAGAGATGATGAAGCAAGCAAATTTTTATTTTTATTATTGTTACTTTGACGTGGTAAACTCAATCCCCTAAACCCCCTTACCCTTACCCTGGAGCCCAAGCTTGACCTTTTCCCACTGATATTACGTGATGCCTACGATGGAGGGTAGGTCAAACTATCAAAGAGAAGAACTAGCAAGCTTCTAGGTTGGCAAGCTTCTGAAGGAGTGCATATGACACTTAAGGCAAATCCCACATGGAATAGGAGATAAAAAACTTTATAAGGCATAGCACAAAGTTCACATGGTACGCACACTTTTGGACTCGATGATTGCGTAGCTCAAGTGACAAATCCGTGAGGTCTGTTGGGTCAAAATATGTGTCATGGGCTTGGGCTATGACACTAGAACCCCCAAACATATAATTGGATGTTAAAAAGTATTTACCACTACGCTATCCCTCAATTGTTGTATCGAACAAAATAAAATGTTGTAGTTTTTTAACACTACTCTTTCACTTATTTAACCAATGTAAAATACTGGAATATATTGTTTTTGCACTTCTTCTTTTTAACTTTCATAGAATCTTTAGAGCTTTGAAGAATGCCTTGGATGACTCTGTAGTCCCAATTTCAGTAACTCTAGAATGGAGATTAAGGTTGTGTATATTCAAATATTCCTTTAATCATCTTCATCTGATATCAGCTCATAAATGAAGTCTATAATGATTACCATGGAGAGCTAGAGAAGAAAAAGAATTGAGTCAAGTAACACCTAAAGTATCTTATACTCAAGTTGCAATTGAGCCTATAGCGCTTGTTCTTTTTTTTATGAAATAAGTTGTATTTCATTAACAAGAAGCATCCAGGGGATGCATAGGTTACAAAAAGAAAGGAAATACCAACCCAATGACAAAAAAACTATTGTAAGACTAAGGCGCTGATAAATTCCAAATAAGAGTCAGGGTTATATACAGGTGTAAAATTAACCCAACTAAAAAGATTAACTAAACATTTGGCCTCGAGTGCATGGTTGGCAATTAAAATGCCATCAAAACATCTTTGATTCCTTTCTGTCCATATGCACCACAAAATACAAGCAGGAATCATAGACCATATCCTTTTGGTGGACTTCCCAACTCTCCAAGCATTCCAACTCAAGAACGCCTCCTTGACATTGCATGGCATAGTCCAGCGCAGTCCAAAAAGTGACAAAAACATGTTCCATATACTTGTTGCAACTGGGCAATGAAGAAACAGGTGATTAATTGTCTCTGGGTTGCAAAGGCACATGTAACATCTGTTAGGTAGTTGAAAATTTCTCCTGATGAGATTGTCCTGAGTTAAGCATGCTCCCTTTAAAGTGATCCAGCTGAAACATGTGACTTTTGGTGGTAATTTTGCTCTCCAGACAACCTTCCAAGGCCATTGATCAATTAAGTCTTTGTTGGAGCTTAACTGAAGATAACTTGCTTTCACTGAATAAGTGCCTTCCCTGCTATTGCCCCACTTGAGTTTGTCTCTGCTCTGGGTGTTGAATGAGCTGTTCTGAAGGCTTTCAAGAAGTGCAAATAGGTCTTCAATCTCCCAATCATTTAGGTCTCTTCTCTGGTTTAGTCTCCATGTGTTGTCCTCCCTGTTTTGAGCAATAATAGAATCCGGGTTGGTTGCAACTAGGAATAATCTTGGAAAGGCCTCCTTTAGAGTAGTGTGTCCCAGCCATCTGTCTTTCCAGAATTGAATGAGTGGCCCATTTCCCACCTGAAGAGATGTGTTGCAGGAGAAGTCATCCCATAGTCTCCTGATACCCTTCCATAACCCAGTGCCATAAGGTATTCTGACAGCATTGGTACACCAGTGACTATTAGCCCCATACTTTGCTTGAACTATCTCCTTCCAAAGGCCAGCATCTTCTTGGTTATACCTCCAGTGCCATTTCATTAACATGCTCTTGTTGTGAAGTGCTAGGTCTTTGACCCCAAGACCTCCAAGTGTTTTAGGAAGTGTGACTTTGGCCCATTTGACTAGGTGGAACTTGTGGCTGGAGCTATTACCTTCCCATAGGAAAGATCTCCTAATCTTGTCAAGTTGTTTCTGCACTTTGATTGGAATTGGAAAGAGGGACATGAAATAGGTAGGTATGCTATCCAAAACACTATTGATTAGTATTGCTATCCAAGACACTATTGCCACCGAGAGATAGGTATTGTTGCTGCCAAGAAGCCAATCTTTTCTCAAACTTTTCAACAACTGCATTCCATATTTCAGTTGATCTCTGACTGGCACCCAAAGGAAGACCAAGATAAGTGGTAGGGAAGGAACCAGTGTTGCAATACATAATATATGCCAACTCTTCCAACTCAGGAACCACATTAACAGGGTAAATAATGCTTTTAGACATGTTAATGTGGAGACCTGACATGGCTTCAAAAAGCATAAGAGTGAGGTTAAGGAACTGAACTTGAGATTTATCTGCCCCACAAAAAATAAGAGTGTCATCTGCGAATAATAGGTGTGATACAGAAACTGTCAATCCTGAGTTGCTACCCATATCAAAACCTTGTAACCATTGCATCTGCTTGGCCTTTTCCATCATTCTACTAAGCCCCTCCATGGCTAGGATGAATAGAAAGGGAGATAGGGGGTTTCCTTGCCTGATCACTCTTTTAAGAGAGAAGAAGCCTATAGGGCTTCTGTTAACAAGCACAGAGTACTTCACTGTGGTGAAGCTATATCTGATCCATTTGATCCATTTCTCTCCAAATCCCATTTGCCTTAGGATTGAGATTAGATATTGCCAATTTAGTTTGTCAAATTCTCAATATCCAGCTTGAATAGAAGACCAGGTTCACCACTTTTGTCTCCAATCTAGCACTTCATTAGCAATGAGGCCCTAACCCATCGGTGATCTGATTTTGCCACTGTAGCTTTAGTTTCGGTAGCCGGAGACCACCAATCAAGAGTGAATCTTCGCCCATTCCAAAACCAATCACCAATTTTAACTCTTTCTGCTTCTTGTGTAGAAGGAAACCGGAAAAGAAAAAGGTTGGGCGAAAGTAGTGTGACTATCAACCCCGATGTCATCCTCCATCTCTTCAGGAACCAAGGTTGAATGATCTCTGCATTAGGGCTTGAGCAGAAGGGATCGTTAAAGAAGCCCACAAGGCAGCAGAAGAGGTATTTGTTGAGCTTCAAACTGGTTTCCTCTGACGAGACCTGAACTTGAGCCGCTACTTCTGGCCATTTTTGAATGTTCGCGACTTCAATGCAAGAGAAATCAGGAGTAGTGAATCTTTGGAGGTTTGGACTGGATGGCTTGCCCAAGAACCTAAGAATTTTGTCGGCGATTTCGCACCAGCCCGCGTTGTAATCAACCTCCGGGATTATAATTGCCGATTTTCTATTTCCAAGCCATTTTTCTATTCTGATGAAGCGCCCATGAATATTGTAGTTCTGGTAGACTCTATGCAAAAGATCTTGTTGCTTCCTCCCCCATCTTCCGTAAAGATCTCCTTGACCCCTTGATGCCTGCTTCAGGTTATGATAGACCCATCTCAAATTGCATTCATCGATTTTTAACTTGCTGGTGAAACGCCTATTGTGTTCAATAAAAAGAAACCACCTGCTTTGGCCCTCACTAATGTAAGTGATTTCAAAGGATTTGTCTTCAGAGGTGAAAAAGACCTTTTCTCCCATAATAAAATTGGCTAACACCGCTGAGAGGTCTTGCCGGTGAGAGTGACAGATCGGAGAGAGAGAGAGAGAGGGAAAGGTTAGGTGCACGTTTCCCAAGTCAGAGAGAAAAAGTAGAGAGAACATTTTTCTTTCTCTTCACTTGCCTACAGAACTTGTTCTTTCAAACAAACCCTAAACTCAAATACTCTGTTTCTTTAGGCATTAATCATCTATTTTAGGCATTAATTGAAGTTTATTGCAATTACCAAGGAGAGCTAGACAGAATAAAGAATTGGAAGCTTAACTTTCAATTAACGCCTAAAATTTCTTATGCTCAAGTTGCAATTAAGTCTAGAGCTTTTTCTTTCAAGCAATCCCTAAATTCAAGTGTGTGTTTCCTTTACTTTAGCTGCAGCGCTATGCAGCCAACTCAGTCCCCTTTAATTATAACGCCAACATCTTATTATTTTTAGAATGAAGTAGAAGTAAAAATACCAACTAACTACATAGACAACAATTAATACCTGAGAAAGTGCAGGATTGGCAGTGCCGGAGAAAATGCGGAGTCTAGTATCAATCTGAGCATGTGGAACTGGAAATCTTCTTACTTGATTAGCGTTCCAAAGATTGTTAAATGAAGTGTCGCCATTAATCTGAAGAGGCATGTTTGATCTCCCATTCTCCTTGTTAAAACTTAATGGTTCTGCCACATTACATCTCTACAAAGCCACAACAACATTAAGATAACAGCACGTTTTCAGAGTCACAATCATAATTAATCTAGATATACTCCATTTGCAAGCAGAAGGAGAAGGGGAAGAGAAAATTGCTTACTACAATTGAGTCTCCGGCAGCATATCTACAAGGACTAGGTTTGCTGGTAGCTAAAAAGCTTCCAGGTAGAGCTAAAGATGCCATGTGGAGAAGAGAGAGGGATGGAGACCCCCTTGTTTTTGGTGTTAGGGTTTTGGAAAGAAAAAAATATACAGTATATATCTTCAAATTAACGCAGGATGCCTGAAATGACTTTTCCAAGAGTCGTGCCACACGTTGTAAAGTGCTTAGTGCTTGAATTTATTTAGAAACAAAAAGGGTCAAACGACACCAATCAGCAGTATACAAAATCAAATTGTATGCTGTAAGATTGCAATTAGATTATGTAATCGTTATTTGATTTTGTATGATCAATAACTAAATTGGCACTAATAGTACAATATGACTATATGTAAGTGCATAAACATAATATCAATCGCTATCTTAATTTTTTATCAGCACTTATAAAGGAGCACCGAAAGCTGTCATGGAACGTGACATTAAGTATTAGCCGTTTTGAAAGATTAAAGGCATTAAGGGGTCGTTTAGGGTGTATAAGAATAATGCTTAATAAGATGTATAAAAATAATGTTTAATAAGGTGTATTGGTAATGCAAGTATTAGTAATACATGAGTTAGTAATGCAAACATTAGTTATGCAGGGGTTATTTCTTATCCATTGTTTGGTGTGGTGTATTAAAAATTAAAATCCATTACATAATTTTTAAGAAAATTGTTTGTTTACAAAAAATGTCCTCCATATTCTTTAGTTTTAAAGGACTTTAAGGATAATTTGGCCTTTAATCATGCTAATGCATGCATTAATAGCCTTGGTGTTGCTAATACCATGGTTTGCTATGCATTAGCTATACATAGGATAATACCAAATATGATGTATAACTAATGCATGTATTAGTTATACATAGGTTAAAAAAGTGTACCAAGCAAGGTTTTACTAATACACAAAGCTAATGCATGCATTATTTTCTCTAATGTAAGGTCGTTTGGCAGCTGGTTAAGAGAAAAATTATCCATGTAATAGGGGCAACATAACTTATACAATGTTTGGTAGCCATTAGTTATTTTGTACTAAATTCAGCATAACTAATATCATGTTTGGTTGTCATTTTACAATTCTATATAAATAATACATGTATAAGTTATGAGTCAATCTGTGTATTATTTTATGCGGGGTAGAAGATGGAATAACTAATACATGTATTAGTAATATATGGATAAAATATTAAAATAATAAATTTACCCCTATCACTTTACACATAAAGGCTTCCTTCGATAGATTGATCTGTATCAAACCATTTGGAGAGCAAGCATGGAGACATTGATGCCTCACTGCTAGGCTCTTCCTCTTCTCAAAATATTAGAGACAAAATTAGTAAGTAAGTATTTTACTTTAAAATTTATATAATGTATATGACTTTCTAATACAACAAACCAAATATTCAAAAAAATAATCTCAGCGTAACTAATGCATGTATAACTAATACATGCATAACTAATGCATGTATAACTAATACTTGCATAACTAAAACTTGTATAACTAATATCTGCATAACTCTAACCGGCCACCAAACGACCTCTAAAGGTTGGATTATGAATACATGAACAGGTGGTGAGAGTTAAAAATTCTAATGGATATTCACTTTTTTTTAATTCATAATTATCACGATCGAAATTAGAATCGCGACCGACATAATATAAGTCAACCCTTGTCAAGCGAATCACCAAAATATAATATCGTCAATACATATAGAATCATACAACACCCCAAAACTATATGTGGTACATGGAATATGTCTCTAGAAACTATACTATGTAAATACTATTAACAATACACTAAACTAGCACCCGAGAAACATATGTGAAGCTCTACAGAAACTATGACTCAACCATGCAGCCTAAAGTCATGAACTCTCTGCCTTTGTATATGCACTTGTATTTGAAAAATATATCAAGAGAGGAGTGAGATTTTACTTAGTTAGGCATTTAACCATGAATATTTAGGCATTAGCAAATAGGTTGGAGAAATTGGATATTTCGAAGCCGAGCAGAGTCCTTGCTTGCGTTGTATCTCGGTCGTCCTTGTTTGAGTGCATTAAGACGCATTAGTATGATGATCCCCACTTGCTTGTCCGTATGGACATGACGCAAGTGATGCTAAGGAGGTGACTATTGGTGATGATGGGGTATTGGGGCTTCAGGGTCATATTTGTGTTCCAAATATGAATGGCTTGAGAGAGTTGATTCTTGAAGAGGCTCATAGTTCACGATATTCCATTCATCTAGGTGCTACAAAGATGAACCGTGATTTGGAGCAGCATTATTGGTGGAGAAGCATATTGTTGGGCATGTTGCACGGTATTTGAATTATCAGTAGATCAAGTTTGAGCATCAGAAAATTTGGGTCGTTTGCTTCATAAGATTGATATACCGAAGCAGAAGTGGAAGCGTATCACCATGGACTTCAAGGTAGGGTTGTCGCGAACCTTGAGGAAGTTTGATGTCATTTGGGTTATTGTGGATTGGTTGAACAAATCAGTGCATTTCATTCTGGTCATGACCTCCTACACGTCAGAGCAGTTGGCTAAGATCTATACCCAGGAGATTGTTTGCTTGCGTGGTGTACTTATTTCTATCATCTCGAATCGCGCTACTCAGTTTACCTTGCATTTCTGAGAGTTGTGCTGCGTGAGTTGGGCATGCAGGTTGAGTTGAGTACAATATTTCAACATCAGATAGACGTGCAGTCCTGAGCGGGCCATTCAGATCTTGGAGGATATGTTGAGGGCCTGCATAATTGATTTCGGAGTCCAGTAGGATCAGTTTCAACCATTAGCGAAGTTTGCATATAATAACAACCACTAGTCTAGAGAAGGTGATGTCGCTCTCCGATTGGTTGGTTTAAACATGGGGAGGCTAGATTATTGGGCACTGATTTGGTTCGAGATGCTTTAGAGAAAGTGAAGTTATTTAGGTGAGGCTTTGCACCGTAGAGTCGAGGCAGAAGAGTTATGCAGATAGAAAGGATCGTGAGTGATATTCATGGTATGTGAGAAGGTTCTACTTAGAGTTTTGCCTATGAAGGGCATGATGAGGTTCGGGAAGAAGGTCCAATTGAGTCCTCCTTTTTTGGTCAATTTGAGGTCTTGGAAAGAGTTGGTGAGGTGACCTACATGTTTGCTTTGCCACCCAGCTTGTCAGGAGTTCATTCGGTATTCCATGTTTCCATGCTTTGGAAGTACTATGAGGATCCGTCACATGCTTCAGTATTGGATTTCAGCTTGGTGTACTTGGACAAAGATTTAACTTATGATGAGGAGGTAGTGGTCTTTTTTATAGGCAGGTTCGAAAGCCGAGATCGAAGAATACTGCATCAGTAAAGGTATCGGCAGAGGAGGCAACTTGGGAGATTGAGAATAATATGCAGAGAAGTTATCCTCACCTTTTGGCACTTCATTATGACTCTAAACTAGTTCGAGGATGACGTTTATTTAAGAGGGGGGGAGTGTAACGACCCGACTGGTTGTTTTGAGTATTTTAACCTTGTTCCTCTATTTGATGTTCCACATATGTGTATTTGATGTTTTGGTGATTTGTAGGGATTGGTTTCGGGAAGGTTTTGGAGTGAATTGAGACACTTAGTCTCATTTTGAAACCTTAAGTTGTAAGAGATGACTAAGGTTTGACTTTTGTGTAAACAACCTCAAATTCGTATTTTGATGGTTCCAATAGGTGCGTATGGTGATTTTGGACTTAGATATATGCCCAGATTTAGATTCGGAGGTTCCTAGGATATTTTGGCGTTATTTACTGAAAGTTGGCAATTTGAAGATTTGGAAAGTTCATAAATTTAACTATGGGTTGACTTTTAGGCTATCAGGTTCAGATTGTTGATCCAGGACTTGGGATATGTTTGTATAGTCATTTGGAATTTGTGTGCAAAGTTTGGGTTCATTCCAAATTGGTTAGGCTTGAACCAGACGCTTGGTTGTAAATGTTTAAAGTTCTTGTACTTGAAGGGATGCATTATGTGTTTTGGTGTTCGATTTTTGGTTATGAGTGTTGTTTTGATGTTTTGAGCTTATGATCATGTTTGTATATTAATTATATACTTGTTGGTGTGATTGGACGGGGTCCTACGGGGCTCGGGTGGGTTTCAGATAACCCGGAGCATTTTGGAAACTTGTAGATTTTTGTTGGTGTCAGTTCCTCTTTCGCAATCACGGAGGTTAGATCGCAATTGCAGAGTGTTTTGAGCTGGGCAGGGATATACTTCTTCGAGTTTGTGACACATGGGGCGTGTTCTTGATGGGTGAGGCTGAATGGCATGCGCTTTTGTGACCTGGGCATCGCGTTTGCGTATCAGTGAGGACAATTGAGGAGGGTCAGGTCTTTGGCCTTCTAGTTTGCGGGAAGGGGACCGGGTTCATGTAGGCGTGTGATGTTTCGGAATCTTGATCACAGGCTGGGGGCTGCGTTCGCATAGGTGTAATTTGAAGCAGTGAATTTTTCTGCTTCGCAAACGCAAGGATGGGGCCGCGTTCGTGAAGGGTACTATTGGACAGAAGTATAAGTGATGTAATATCATGACTTAGACCAATTATTTTTTATTTGAGCCCTAGACTTTGAAAGGGGCAATTTTTGAACGGGATTTTCACACAAGGCAAGAGAGTAAGTGATTCCTACTTAATTTTCACATTATATCTTATTTCCCTATGGATATTTACACATAGACTATGTGATTCAAAAGAGAAAATTGGGGATTTTGACTATGGTTATGGAGAGTGAAGAGATAGAGATTTGAACCCCGATTCGAAGTCGTATTTGGATGAAACTTATATATTTGGACTCGTGTTGGAATGGGTTATCGGAATTTGTAACTTTTGTCGCGTTTCAGGACACGATCCTAGGTTGAATTTTTAGTTGACTTTGTGTATTTGTATAAAGATCAAAGCTTTATTGTTTGGGATTGTTTACTTTTGCTTTATTTTATGTTATTGAGTTGTTTTTGGCTAGATTCGAGCCGTTCGGAGGTCTATTCGCGTGGGAAGGCTTTTTTGGAGTATTGACTTGGCTAGTGTAAGGTAAGTATCTTGCCTAAATTTAGTTGAGGCACTAGTTGCCTAAGTTATTGGTGTTGGCTACGTGCTAAGGTGTCATACATACAAGGGGTTGAGACCATGTGCGTGCACCAGGGATTATTCATGTTTGGGGTAGTATTTAGGCTATATT